CCCCCGCCGCCGGGCAGAGGCGATGGGGCAGGGGAGGAGGCCGTTGCCGAGGGCGCGGCACGTTTACCAAGCTACGCGCTAAGGAAAATAAGATTTCATCGCGTCTAAAAGTTTGAGGATTTCAGGATGAGAAAGATTAGCGAGTACTGGTTCGTGAAAACACCAGGGGAAGTAAAAATTGGCCCCTTCCTAAGGAAGGCGCGTGTTTTGCCCGTCCTCTTATTTTTTAAACAAGATTTGGTATTTGGAAATAAACTTAAAAAAAAAAAATCCAGCAGAGGGAGGCAAACGACAAAGCACAGGAAAAAAAAGTAACGCAAAAACTTCCCCTATACTGGGTTATGTTAAAGTAAGAGCAACATTGCATAGAAAACATAGAAATCGTTAAGCACAGCATTTCGGAAGATCCGCACTCATTACACGGGAAATAACTCAAGCTGTATTCAGCAGAGCTAACAGAGACTACGACAGTGCATGTTGCCACCTCCACCTAAAGCAAGGCTAGCGTGCGTCCCGGCAGGCTGCGGCCCCGGTGAGCGCCGAGGCGCCTGTGACCTAAAGCAGTCACTGCAGCAGCTCCAGCAGCGGTGCTCAGCAGGGCAGCGCGTCACCCAGAACAGCGCACGCCTCTTAGCCCTGCAGTTATCTCACCTGTCGTGCAGCGCTGAGAAAGAACCTATATACTACTTTGAACTATTCTTTTTGTCTCTAGTGGAAACAAATCAGCTACTAAATTTTAAAAATGTTAGTTTGGTATCAAAGTCATTCTATCGTATTGTTGCCCCTTGGCCAAACAGCAGAAATACAAGGCCTAGGGATAACATCTAACTGCCTGGACATCTGGAAAGGCATGGAATGACATCTGGAATGACCTGGAAGAAAGGTCATTATGGTATTTCAGTTTTGGTTAGTCTGAAGCTTGAGAGATTAGTTTAATCAGACCTGTCTCAGGATGTGGATGATAAGTAGTACAACAGAAGGTGGTGGTTGGGGGTCGGGAGTTTCCAAGTCACGTGTTCTTTTACGAACCTCTTGCATCAGTATAATGGCATAAAAACTACCAAAAGATTGTTTCACAGGAACTCTGAAACGGTTATTCAGAAATATTAAAACAAAATAAAGCATATCTTCTCCATTTGTGTTGTGACCCAAGACTACTGGTTTTGGGGGGGGCAGCGGGAGGGTTTACACAGAATATTGTGATTAGGCACTACTGTAATTCAAACCCACAATATTTTGTATTTCAAAATAAAGATTAAATGAAAATAAGACTCCTTAAAACACTGCATATATAAGCTTCTTTAAAAAAAGCAATATACAAGACACCATAATTCCATTTTTATTTTCGAAACGCATTTTCATTATAATTATTTAAGATAGCTATAAATGCACTTTTACTACCTCTGGGAATTATTTTTGTCATGTTTTCTAATAATTTCCATAATATTATCTCCTGTTACAAAGCTATTCTGTAATTGTTTAAGTCTCTGTTGTTCCCTTCTCTTTTGGTCATGAAGATATGGGGAATTCAGCAGCTGTGGAGGAAGAATGGTGCCTGTTGGTTTTACTCTCTTCACAACATCCCAGAAAAGCTTCTTGCTGTTGTTATTGATAAAAGTAATTGCAGTTCCACTGTGACCCAACCTCCCTGCTCTTCCAACCTGGAGAAAAAAAAAAAAGTTCATTTTCAGTTACCAATATTAAATGAACTCCTTCGAGTCTCCTTAAAGTTTATTTTCTGTTATAAAATAGACTTAGGAATTCCACAGCTACTATATGACAAGGCCAAATCCCCTAAGCACAAAGTTCTGATAAGCTTCCTGAATTCAGAATATGCAGATTTGAAGCTCTGGTTTAAATGCATCTAACATTAACACTTGTATTTGGGAAAAACTGGAAGTCTAATTGATACCGAGATGTATGATATAACTTACAGGCAATCAAATTAAATGCTTAGAGTAAATCTGGTGCAAATAACATATTTCAAAAGTTATTACCGCAATGCCGCATACAAGTATCTTGTATCTAGTAGGATACATACAATCATCACCACAAAAAAATACCCTACTTTCAATGCTCTAGCAACTTAAAACTATTTCTCAATATTACCTGAAGCTCTTGAGCAAATTGGAAGAGAATCTCAAAGACTCTCTACTTAAAAATAGCGTTTTAGTATCGGTACAGTTTTGATGTTTTAGGATCTTCACTGGGAAATTTATTTATTTATTTACTACTTCCTTGAAACTTTACTGGAAAGGTAATTAAAAACACAGAGAAGTACTGCATATAGTAACACTGAATAATTTTGGTTGGAAGGACCTTTGCAGGTCATCCCACCCAACCTCCTCCTCAGGGCTAACTTCACAGTTAGATCAGGGGGCTCAAGACCTTGTCCAGTCGAGATGTGAGCACATCTGAGGACACAGGTTCCACAACCTCTCCAGGCGCCTGGTTCCACTGGTGAACCACTTGCCAGCTCTGTCTTCTCTGTAACCACCCACTACAGAACGTAACACAGCAATTCAACGCCCACATTGACCTTCTTTCCCCAAGCCCACCCATGCCCAGCTCCATCAGCTTCTCTCCATGTCACATGCGCCAGCCTCGAGTTTCTCCAAAATGCCTGGAGTTTGTCAGCCTTTCTTGTACTGGAAGCCTCAAAACTGGACACTATACTACCGTCCTGTGACTTCCTGACTGCCAGAGAGGAATAAGCAGTTCTCTTGACCTGCTGCCTACACTGTTCTGTGTACACACACGCATACACACAACTTTACTTTATATTTTCCTCTTCTCCTTTATTCAATAAGTCCTGTCTGGTTTTTTTCTGTGATGTGCCTGAGAAGAGAGGTACTGGGGTGGGAGAAGGGAACGAAGAGAACATTCAAGATTAAATTTCTCTCCGTTTTACATGCATATCCCACAGTGTAGATGAGCTGCAGCAGAAAGAGGGGTATTTGCCCTTTTTTTTCCCACAGAGTGTAAAAATATGGTAAATCTTGCTTTCTATTTATCAACAAAATGCTGTAAGAAAGCACAAAGCGGAGAGGAATAACAGTGCGGATACAACTGACTGAAGAGTAGTTATCAGTCTTCACTATTTCTACTCTGATCCAGAAAACCAAGCTTTTATGCAAGAGACTGATGAAAAAGATATTCCAGCACCTTTCTCTCCTTTCCTATAGGAACAACCTTCTGAAGATAAAAACCATATTTACATTTGTATATTTCAATTTAAATTCCCATAGTTGGATGTGGTACATTTCAGTATGCTTTGTAAAAGAACTTTGGTAAATAATTCACGCAACTCTTTTTGTTCCCTCCCCACCTTTTTTTTTTTTTTTTTTTTTTTTTTACCTGATGTACATATTCATCCATACTGGAAGGCATATCAAAATTTACTACCAGTTTCACATTGACAAGATCAAGTCCTCTTCCAAGGACTCCAGTACTCACTATAACTTCATACTTCTCTTGAAGTAAACCCTGCCAAGGGGGGAAATAAAAAAAAAAAAAAAAACCCAGAAATTACAGCTCTTATTTTTCCCTTATTTACATTTTAGACCTCTCCAAGCACAGGTTAGAGCTGTTATAGGGCATCAAAACATGCCTGATGGGATTATTCTATTGCAGAAGAAAAAAAAAAAAGCCCCCCACCGTGTTCTTAATTTAAATGGGTCACAGAATATCATTCACCAAGAGCTGCTTACAGAGAGACCAAAACCACAGTTTTAATTAAAAAGCATCACTTAAACTAAATGCATACTTAAATTCCCAATCCAAAGCAAATAACCTAAGAAATAGTCCCTAGTGTTTATCTGCATTTAAAATAGCATTATTATCTATGATTTTTCTTGTCTCCCCCCACAACACTCCAGGCTTTACCACAGAAATGCAATTAACAGATAGGTAAATATCCTATAAACCGCTTCCCAGAGAAAAATAGTCTGATGAAAACAAGAACTGTAGTTGCAAAAGTTTTGATGTATTATTCTGAATCATTCTGTAAGTGACAGCAAATTATGACCTAACTTATTCAAATTAAATCACCTTTTAAAAAAATAAGATTAGTCATTTTAAATTTATTAAACCCATGTGACTTTAGGAGGCACAAACCTGTAATATTTCTGTTCTTTCCACCTGAGACTTTTCAGAGTGCATGGATGTACACTGTAATCCCGTAATCTTATGAACGGCATCACTCAACAGATCTGCTCCTAGTTTGCAGTCCACAAATACCAACACTGGAGGCTTGAAGAGTTTCTTATCCTGTATAATTAAACAGTTTATATAAAAAGGTACTACAACAGCTGATTGCTCATCATCAGCAACTTGGATTCAATTTCTCTTGCTCATTATCTCTGCAGTATTAACAACATTTTTGAATGAATAAACATTCGTAAATTCTAGATAAGAAGGAACAAGATATCAGCACTGAAACTACACAAATCTGTACATCAATGAACCTAAAAGGATTTATAGGAATCAGAACCCATATTTATCTCTTTATGCTTTCTTTTTAATTAAAAGCTTTCTTTTATGTTCCTTTAAATGTCATATGATAATTTTGGCTTTCTGCAAGTTCTGAAGCTGAGTTAAAGACTCCCAATTTTTTCTTGCATAATCTCAGCCGTGATTCAACACCCCCCCACCAAGTACTCATAAAAAATATGTAAGGGATTAAGGCCCTTATTATTGATAAAAAGAATATTCACAAGGAAGTTAAAGAACTAAATTAGCTTTCTCACTAACTTCTTTAGTGACTTTTAAAATGACAAACCACTCCCAGACTATAAAGCAGCTATAACTGCTTAAGTTGTATTCCTCTCCAATTCACAGATACACCAGTACAAGTCTTTGTTGCACTAAACCAACAAAATCACAAAAATAAAAATAAAAAAATCAAGTCATTTTTAATAGGGGCCAATGAGGGATCCAATTTGCTGCTGCATAAAAGAAGGTGTGAATG